GCTCCCTCCACCCCCTCTTCTCAACGACTACCCCTCATTTTCCCTTTAATTACCCCCACATTTTAGCCACCCATTTCCTGACCATCGGTACCACCCCAGAGGCATGCCACACCCCCTAAAATGACCTAGATACCACCGGTGATCCCTAGTCGATGTTCAAAAAATTGCTTGGCCGCTCATGCTTTGACGAGGAAGGGGAATATGCGAAGAACTACTCGCTTCCTCCCGCTTCTCCACCACCTCCTCCCCCTCCTGCCGCGGCTCCGCCACCTCCCGCTGCCCCGGTTCAGCCTCCTCCTACCTCGGAGCCGCGAGCTTCTGCTCCTTCCTCTCCCTTCCAGCGACAATCCCCAGGGGATGCGCCAGAGGCTCCGACTTCACGACCTCGCTCTTCGGCTCCGATGTCTCCTCTGACTCGCCCCGGCAGCAGCAGCAGCCAAGTTGTGAGCTGCGACCAGCGCTGCGCTCCTCCTCGCGCTCACACGCTCGTGCGGCAGGTGGCGAGAGCCTTGAGCCTGGCAGCGATGGCGTTTGAGACCATCAAGAAGAAGTTCAAGATGGTACCGCATGTCGCTCCCTGCTCCTTTCCAGCTCACTCTTCCTCCCCTCCAGCTGCAGAGAAGGTCCTGGAAGTCCACCGAGGTGTACGCAGCTGCTACCGCCATCACGGCGCTCGATGTTGGGATCGTCAGGTCCCGTGCCGCTCGCTCGCTCCCCTCATCCTCATCCTCTCCCTGCAGCTTCCTCCGGCTTCCCTCAGGAAATCTTCTCGTGGAGAGGTTGGTCCTCGATTCCCCGACTCCTTCCCCAGCTGACCTCCCGGCTGCAGCTTCCCGCTCATCACCAACAGCATCCAAGGAGCAGGTGCGAGAGGCTGCGGGGCCCTCCCCCGCTAACGACTCGCAGGGCTGGTCTTCGCAGGAGATCTCGTGTCACAGGCAGTAGTCAAGCAGTGAGTGATTGCAAGTCCTCCTTCCTCCCTGACCCTCCTCCTCGTCCTCCTCCTCCTCCTCCTCCTCCTCCGCTTCTTCCTCCTCCTCGCTCCCATCCCTCTCCATCCTCCTCCTCTGATCTTGCTCTTTCCTTTAGCCTGCAGGGGACTAAGGAGTTTCTCCTGGACTGGACGCGACTAGCGAAGGCAAGCTTGGGTGATTCTCCTTGTGGCAGCGGCTGTTTCTGTTTCCCTCACTCCTCGGCAGTTGGTGTTATCAACGTTGGTCTTTGGCCCTACTACTGGTACCTCGCCGTAGAGACCTTCCTCCCAGCACAGGTTACTCCTCCTCCTCCTCCTCGCCCGCTCTCTCGCTTCTCCTCACTGCATCTCAGGCTCCGACCGGCTTCGGTCTCCCGGTGTGGCTTGGGGAGTGGGGTCTGCTGCTCGGTGAGAGCCCGGAACTGATGCCGTCTACTGCTCGTGACTCGTCCGATCGCAGTCAAGATCGTCCTCGACTCGATCATCAACGGCTCTTTCTCCATCTTCTCTTCCTTCTCCCTGTGGTCTGGACCCGCTGCCTGTGCTCCTTGCCCTCCTCTCACTTCCGCTTGCAGGTCCCTCATGGATCGTGACACCGTCGAGCAGTGGAAAGACAAGTTCAGGAACAGGTTACCACTCCTCCCTCCCCCCCTTCTCTCCTCCTAGCTCCTAGATCTTCCTAGCTCCTCTTCTTTCTACCTCCTATCTCCTCCTCCTCCTTCTGACTTGGCTCGCAGCTTCATGGAGACTTGGTTGATGGACTGGAAGTCTTGGCCCCTTTACAACATCCTCTGCTTCACCATCATCCCCTTCCGCCTGCGGCCCATGACCAGCGGGATCGGTCAGTCTCCTCCTCAGCCCTCATCATGTCACCTTCCTCCTCCTCGTTGGCTCCTGGCTCTCCCCTCCTCCCCTCCTCCATCTCCTTCCTGTCTCTGCCACCAGCTGACCTTGCTGCATGTCCCGCAGCTTCCATGTTCTGGAACGCCTACGTCAGTCACCAGAGCCAGCGAGTGAACGCGCACAAGGAGTGAGCGAGCAAGGGAGTTTCAGTGCTCCCCGACCTCTTACCTTCCCCCCTCCCCTCCCCTGCTCCCCTCGAAGTTCTAGTAGCAGAGTTGCAGCAGGACTGTATGAGGGATACAAGGAGGAGCATGGATCGCATGCTTGTCACCATCATGGCACTGCACATGCAACGTAGGCTCGCCTCAGCCGGGCCTCGGAGTAGGAGCGCCGACGCCGACACGTAACTGTCATTATGACCTCAAGCGCACTGGCGAGTCTTTACTCAAAGTTGAGTCACGAAGCGTAACTAGTAAGCGGCGCCGGAGCCTGGCGCCGGGACCGGCCCGGTCGCCGAGTACGCCGCCGGTAATATGACCTTACAGGCCCTCAGTGACCGTAGGCGAGTACAACCGACTCAGCCTGAGAGAGGGCCGGGCCCTTGTGACCGGGTGACGAGTAGAATGGCCGCAGTCACGCGGCCCGGCAGGAGAGATGGATCGTTACTTCCGTTACAACTTCTCAGAGCTGGAACGATGCGTTCAAGATAGGTGTGTCCTCCTTTCGTGTAAGCCCCGAGCCGTTATTTCCGTTACATTATGAAGATATCGCTGAAAGATATCTTTTGAATGTTTCAACCTGATGATATTATTGAAAACAGTTCTTTTCGAATCTGAGACGCACACGGACCCCTTCACTGTGATGTTTCAAGCTGAAGGGGGTGTGGGATACATTTGAATGTGATGCCCCCGGGGGGTAAGGGTGGTATGAGTACGGGTACATTTAACTATTACAAGTATGGTACTTGAATAAAACGGTAAAGTGGGGTAGGTGGGTTGCATACAAGGGAGACCTTTATATGGCATTTTTGAAATCTCCGGAAGATTATTCGAAAAATATCTCTTTCAGGGTTCTTGGCCCCCTTTACTACCGTCGTGCCCCACGAATTCAAAATTTACTATACTTTTAGACATCTATTACAGTTTTAATGAGTTTTACGATTTTTAGCCCCAGCACTTAAAGGGGGAGGGCTGCAAGCGTTGCAAGGAAAAGGACTGGACGCACACGCAGGAGCGGCAGGAGCGGCAGGAGCGCAAACAGCATCTCGGTTACCACCAACACCATAAAAAACATCAGTATCAGCATCAGCATCAGCATCAGTATCGTCGTCATCGGCAAACACAGCAATAGCAACAGCAACAGCAACAGCAACAGCAACAACAACACTTTCTTTGGACTCTCTTAAATCTTCGCTAGTTCTCTTCGATTGGATTGGATTTTATTCTCATAGAACCAGTTTCTCCCATCTGTGAGTTTGAAGGCGCAGAATCACAGAGCAGACGCGTTTATATGTAAGAGGAGCCTCGTGAAAGAGCAGGGCTGATCACAAACTCTTGTGAACGACCTGAGCCTTGGTTAGCTCAAGGGCATGAGGCACAAATCTAATCTTCTCTTCCTCCTCCTCGCAGTGCTTGCGAACATCGGGAGCTGCTGTGGTGTGATAAACCATCTGGTTCTTAGACACTCGGGGTGCGAGGAATGCATGAGAACGTCAAACCTTGCGAGGCCGGGACACTTTTGCCTGGACCATCTCTTCGACGCTGGGGACGGGCTCTTGTACCTGGACAGTCATGAGAACCAGATGACCTGCCTGAGCCAGCACCTGCGAGGAGGAGAGAGCGTCGAGACGTGGCTCATCTCCTCCGGGGTCAGCAGCGACGGCAAGTCGTTCGACCGGGTCGGTGCCGTGGGGAGGAGGGGGAAGACGTACAGGCCCAAGTTGAGCAGGACCGTCGAGCACCATTACTGAGGGCCGGAGCTTGAGAGTTTTGATTTTATTCTTTTTGTATTCACGTCTTTGATTCCCCTCCCTTACGATGCCAATCTTTGCTCTTGGGCATGTTATTCTGTTTCCTTCTTTCCTTGTATTCTTCTTGCAGAGCAATTTCTTTTCTTTCTCAATGTATTCTTGATTCACTAAAACCTTCGTTGGTTCGAATGCCTTCCGACCATTCACACGCTCACCGTCCGCTGCGCCGTTGCACCTTCCCCTCACTCGATCAGTGCTGCCAGCATACACGAGTGTCCCAACTCTTCACCTCCGTCGGGCAAGGCTCCTGCTCTTGGGCGTCACAAAAAGAACGACCTCTCAGACGACATGCTGGTGACTGAAGCCATGCTGAAGCGATCCTCTGCGGGGAGAGGCTGGTCAGATGGCGGAGCACTGCCGAGGTGGTGAGATGAGGCAGGGTTGTCACCGAGAGCTGTTTCGCTGTCACCCCCATCGCCATTGACGTTCGCTGGAGATCACCCAGTGAGGCTCTTGGCTGGCAGCGCTGCTCCCTCACCTGGATCATCTTGTCCCCTCTCCTTCATCAGGCCTGGCAGAGAGTCAGAGGTGAGACGATGGAAGCGAGACGATCGCTCGACGCCCTGTCTCGCTCTCTCTCGCTCTCTCTCGCTCTCTCTCCTCCTCGAGCGCGACCTCTAAGCATCGCTTCCAACTTGAACAGCCTGAGCCTCAACTCCTGCTGCTCGTGCATGACGAGGCCCTTCAAGTCTCTCATCTCAGTCTGCAGAGCTTCGACGGCTCCCCCAAGCTTCACCACGTCCTCCTTTGACGCAAAACTGACATCTGCAGGAGAGCTCGAGGTCATGCTGTGCGCAGGGAGCATGGCTCCTTGGCCACGTACCTCTCCTGGCTCCTTGGGGCGAGGCTCCGGCGCTCCCCTCCGATCCCTCAGCCTTCCTCGCAACCTTCGCGTCCCCCGACGGCGTCAGTCTCACTGGCCTTCTCTCCAGGAGCACGTGGTAGGTCTTGTAACGGCGACCCTGCGCTGACTCCGTTGCCTCCTCCCGTTGAAAGCCAACCTTCACGATGGTCCCTGCGGTGACTTGCTCATGCTTTCTTCCTTCCTTCCCTTCTGCCTGCATTCCTTCCCTCCCTCCTGCTCCCGCTCCCGCTCCTCCTGCTCCTGCTCCTGCTCCTGCTCCTGCTCCTGCTCCTGCTCCTGCTCCTGCTCCTGCTCCTGCTCCTGCTCCTGCTCCTGCTCCTGCTCTTGCTCCACCTCCACCTCCTGCTCCTGCTCCTGCTCCACCTCCTGCTCCTGCTCCATCTCCTGCTCCTGCTCCACCTCCTCCTCCTGTTATAACCTTGTTGTCCCAGCAGGCTGTTTGCAACCTTCTCCACAGGCACTCTAAGTGAACCCATCAGTCTCTCTTGCTCGAAGCAGCAAAAGGAGAGCGACTCGCCCTTTGACTCTTTGGTCGTCAATGCTATACAGCACGTCTCCTTCCTGCCTCATGGTCAGTTAAGCAAGGAAGAGGAGGGAAGGAGACGAGGAGGGGAAGAGAAGAGGATGGGATGGGATGGGATGGGAGGGGAGCAGAGAGAAAGAGGAGAGGAGGAGAGGAGGGGAAATAAAGAGGAGGAGAGGAGAAGAGGAGGGGAGGGGGGGGGGAGATAAAGAGGAGGGGTTGAGAGAGGCCCGGAGGAGAAGAGGGCAGGGAGCGGAGGGGAGGGGAGTTCAACAACGCACTCGAATCAGGCCGCACTGATGAGCACTCCCTCCTGGCACAATCTGGCGGGCGACGAGTAGGTTTTGCTGCGGGGGAGGGAGAGAAGGAAAGAAAGGAGTCAGATCTGATCCTACAAGTCTTGCAAGAGCCACAGGCAGAATCCCTGATCTCCACTCCTTGACAAGGTAGCAAGCATCTCCTCCCTCATCTCCTCCCTCATCTCCTCCCTCATCTCCTCCCTCACCTCCTCTCTTGTCTCGAACGCGATCCCAACGCCGCACCTCCCGTCCGCCATGGCACCGCCGGGTGACTTGATAGACCTAGTCATTTACCTCACTCGGATTCAGCGATTCAAACCGATTCTAGCCGATCTCAAAGAGCAAATGACCGGTTTTGATCGGTTCAAATCGGCAAATCTATATGGTTTAGATCAGTTCAACCCTGCCGAGCAGTTCGGCCATGGAGGAGGAGGAGGAGGAGGAGCTGCGGCGCTGGAAGGCGCATCTGAGCAGCATCAGGGACCAGGACAATGAGGAGGAGGAGGAGGAGAAGGAGGAGGAGGAGAGGGCGCATGCGCCTGCTGGTGGTGCCCCAGGAATGGCAGCAGACAGGAAGCTGCTGGGATCGGGAGCTGGTGGAGCTGGTTAGTGAGAAGCGCATGCATTCTTCCTCTCCTCTCTCCTTTACCCTCCATTCGTTGTTCCTCCTCTGCTGTAACAATCTCCCTGCTCGATCCGTTGATGATCCTCGCCCCATGTTTCTCATTCGACATCCCCGCTGTTGTATTGAACTGACTTGTGTCCTGCAGGATCCCAGCGAGACGTAAGAAAGTTTCCTCTCCTCGTCCTCTCCTCGTCCTCTCCCCTTTTCCTCCTCCTTCCCTCTGTATCCTCACCCCCTTGCAGCGCACATTCAATGAGCGAGACAGCCTGGAAGGAGCGCATGCAGTGCAAAGGTGCGGCAGGAGGAGAGGGAGTCTCGCCTACTCGTCGATGACGGTTCCCTTGTAGCGAGGAGAGCATCGACTGGACTGCTGCCCTCATGCCACAACTGCTGGATCTGAGAAACGTCAGGGAGGAGAAGGAGGGAGGGAGGGGAGGGAGGGGAAGGTGGGAGAGAGGGAAGGGGGCAGGGAGGGGAGGGAAGGGAATGTTGAAGGGGATGCTGAGATTTGTCTGCAGGAGAACGCGAAGCTGTTATCGATATGTAGAGATCAGGAGCGGGAGCTGCAGCATCTTCGCTCGTCGCCACATGTGAGGAGCAGGGAGAAAGGAGATTGTAGAGACGAGAGACAGAGAGGGGAGGGGGAGAGGGAGGTGGTTTGGCTGGAGGAGGAGGAGGAGGAGAACGAGGAGGAGGAGGAGAACGAGGAGAACGAGGAGGAGGAGGAGAACGAGGAGAACGAGGAGGAGGAGGAGAAGGAGGAGAACGAGGAGGAGGAAGAAGAGACATCGTGGCGTCAAGGATCCTTGCTGATCGTCCCTTCAGGATTCCTTCCGACCCAGAAGCTCCAACGCCTCCTCCTCCGTCCCGCAGGACATGAAGGATGGTAAGAGCGCGGGGGAGCATGTGCGAGAGTTGCCGAGCTGTGCTGCAGGAAAGATCGTGGAGCTGGCGAAGAAGAACCGTTCTCTCAACGTAGCGCTAGAGAAGGAGCGAGCCAAGTCAGGGCGCATGGCGACAGAGCTGAAGAGGAACAGACTCCAAGTTCTCCTGCTCTGTGCTGGGACTGAGTGGTTGTGGAACAGGGTGCAGGAGGAGCTTGAGGAGGTGAAGAAGTCTGGGGGAGGAAGGGACATGGCTGGGATGGATGCGAGGAGTCTGCCGGCGGGAGCGAACAAGGATGGTGGAGGAGGGAAGCCGACGCTTGCGTTCGGGTCTAAGTGGGAGGAGCCCAAGGAGGATGGGGCGGATCAGAGCCCTGAACAGAAGGTCAGGGGAGGGTGAAGGAGGGAGGGAGGAGGGAGGAGAGGGTGGGGATAGGGAGGGAGAGGCGGGGACAAGGCGGGGGGATAAGGAGGAGGGAGAAGGGAGGGGGAAAGGAGAGGTTGAATTTCCTTGCTGCTGTAGATCAAGGAGCTGAACTCCAAGGTCTCAAGTCTGACGACGCAAGTTGGTACCATGAGACATCAGAACGACAAGTTGAAGATGGTGAGGAGGAGAGGTGAAGGGAGGAGGGGAGGGGAGAGGGGGCAGGAGCGGATTGGAGGAGGAGAGGAGAGGAGAGGAGAGGAGAGGAGAGGAGAGGAGGGG